ACTGATGCATCTTGAGATAATGCCCGTTAATGATAAAAAGCTCGAATCGAACTCTCCTGTGCTCTCTCCCTCTTTCACTTGTTTCCCCGCGAGTCCCTGTCAGTCGTTCACCCTTATCCCTCGGGGTGTCCCGGAAAAAGGGACAAGGGGAAAAAGGGGCGAAGAGGGGAAAAGCGTCACGACTTGCCTTCGTAAGCAGCACACTAGGCTAATGCGCCAGCCCGAAAGGGTGCGAAAAGGGTTAATGCACGGAGCGATTGTCAATTCTTCAATTGTTTCGTGAATCTCTTATATCGAGACCTCAAGTATAGTATTTGATATGTACACGGATACGTTATTACACGTTATTACGTCGAAAGGAGGGGACGCTTCCAAATGAGTTTCTAATTACGTAGAAAGTGACGACACCGCCTATAACGGCTGATTTCTCTATTTCTATGTATTTATGTATAACGGCATTGTACTCCGGTATTACCTGCCTATTTCACCCTCCGGACTGCGCAATTAACCGTCGAATAATTCACATTTAATCAGCTTACCTAGCGCGGCTACGATTAATTTTACCAGTTCGAGGATGTCAACCCAATTCCTAATTCTTGATTACGCACTGATTACCGTTGGTACCTGAAATTCACCGAAATTAATATTATAATTAGAGAGCAAAGATACAGCTTGAGTCTTTTCAAAGAATTCCAATCGATCCTGTGCAACGGCTAGAGGTGTCAGTTGGTAAACCGGTGCAACCTCAGGATTGGACGATGGGGTCAAGAAACTTGGCAGGGCAGGGCAGGAAGGCAGGAACGTTGTCTCCCTTAAGAAGGGATGGACCGAAGGGACTTGAGAACTTCCATCGATTCCCATTGGATCTCGATGTGGACGCGATTTCCGAATTTTCGCTCGCTTTGATTTTCCCAGCACCAAACCCACTGGCCCAGTCCCCGGCGACGTGTCGCATGTGTTTACAATTGGCGGCACGACGATCTCTCCCCAATGGACTCATACGCGCATATCGTAACGGGATTCATGTGGACAGCCTTGAAAACTCAAGCCCGTCGCTCGATATTGGCCTAGAATGATAATTGACGTGATCCTATACGTTTCCCGAGTAGCGCACACGTGTTCAACGGAAGAGGCACACGTGTGCCAAAAACGGAGCCGGAGATCGATACGGATGGCAACGCGATATTGATACAATTTGCACAGGCGGCAGAGACTGCAGGAGCAGATACAGTCGATAGAATTACGGGAAGTAAGTCTGATCAGCCAGATCCTTAAATTTTTTAAATCGCACGAAATCCTCTCGGAGCATTATCCTTTTGCAAAGAATTGCGAATTCGCTTTTTTGGCAGCCCTGTGGGAATTCTCGGGCTCGACTTGGACCCTACGGCAAAACCCTGCTCTAGGAACGGAAAAAAAAGGATGAGAGAGAAACGAAGAATATAAAAAGAAAAGTATGGAACCATCCAAGAGAAATAAATACTTTTCGAACTTAATTTCTGAATCCTACTGCGTCTTCACTTTTACGAGGATCCTTCAGGTTGATTGTACAATCGCAAGAGCATCCTTGAAAATCGTTCCGAAGACCAGGCCCATCCTAGCCATAATAATAATAATCATGCCCATCATGCTCGAAATACCCCGTAGACTCAGGAGTCGCAGAATCCCGAGCACGTGACGTGTGACGTAACTCCTAACCGTGCTAAGGGAAAAAAAAAGAGAAAAAAGTGAAAGTGCTCCGGTAGTCACTCGCAGGATTCGGAAGGATGATGCATGTCCTGTCAGTCGACAGAAGCCACACGGTGTCGTCCGTCAACCCCGTTGCCAGAAGAATAGGCATTAATTTATATCTGCATAGGAGCGCATTGTCATGATAATCATCGGGTCGCTCCGCGACGTCATCGGACCAGATATACTGGTAGCGAGTCCTACCTTTCGTGAGATGCGTGTGTGCGAGTGCGTGTGCGTGAACGATTAAATATGCACGAGGGAAAAGTCTACCTGGGAAAATCGGACGCGGACGCTCGGCGCTGAGCGTCTGCGTCTCTTGATGCCAGTCAATGGAGAAAGGTCGTCATCGAGAAGATGGTCCAACCGCGTGAAGTTGGTTCGGGAGAATTAAATAAAAGGGAAAAGTAAAATCGATGCTTCCGAACTGTTTACTAATAGGCACTTTGTAGGTTAACCTAGGGGGGGGGGGGGGGGG